GTGGGGGGTGGGAGAGGTGAGTGCGGGTTGAGCGTTTTTTGTGATTGCGTCCGTCTGCTGGTGCGTAATCCTGTGTCACCCGCACCGGCAGCGCCGGCTTTGGGAGTTCCTTTGGCCATATTGCCCATCCCACAGTGTCTCTCCGAAATAGCGTGGCGTCAAAAGGCACCTATTAGAACTAGGACAGCTGAGAGGTACGCTGACACGAAGTAAATAAGACAGCCGTGATCGCCTACCAGGGGCTTAGCACCCACCATCTGTGTCTTTAAAATACCCAGGAAAACATATTTTGCATTGGAAAGGAAAAGAAGGGCGCATGCCTGTTTCTCGGCATTTCAAAGCTGCTGATTATGAATGTGGAAAGGAGTATTTTTTTTTTTTTTGTCACCAGAAAAGCTTGAAAAAGAAGAAAGATTTTTTTTGTTTGTTTTTTTCCTGAAAAGAAACTAAAACTAGGCAGCAGAGGGTTGCGACCAGTTATCACACAAATTATGGTATTCCCCAGCATCAACCTAGTCCATGTTCAGTGTCACTGAATTTTCCAGGAAGACGGAGGGTCCGGCATTTTAAAGTTACGTGAAGCAGAAGGCAATGGTAAATTCACAAAATGAATTGAGCCCTCAGCCTTTAGAACATGGATGTTATTCCTGGTGTTACAATTTAATGAAGCCGTTTAATAGAGTGCCTGTCTGAAAAGTCTTTTGGCAGAGATTTGCAGTAATCCAGTTTGGAGCTAGTGGTACGTGCAAATACCAAAATATACTGAGTGGAAGAAGGGACATAATTTTGTTCTGTGATCAGAATGAGTCTAATAATGACTTCCATCTAAATGTGATCTGATGTGCTTTTTTAATTATTTAAAAAAATAGCCTATTGTAACGTTAATAAAATGACAGACCAACACCCAGAAGTTCCAGGAAAATACTTCCCTGACCAAGGCATCTGCATGTCAAAAGAGCATTGAAGAGTTCTGTATTGCGTATTGTGTGCTGCTTTTACTTTACAGTGTTCTGAGATGATAGCAGACTTCTTCCTTTCTCTTTCCTACTGTAGGAAATACATTGATTTACTATGCATTTCTTTCTTTTGTTGCTTTTTCCTTGCTATTTGGGGCCTTATTCTTTTTCCTCTTACAATACATCTTTAATGGCCTGTAGGAAGATGTTGAATATATCTGGATAGAAAGTTCAGGCCCCTCACTGACATCCGGCGTGTTTAGTTTATGCTAAAGCTGCATGCCACATCTGCATTAGTCTTTAAAATGTTTTAGTTGACATGTGCTAACCCATGTATGTTGATACTGCATTTAAATCCTTGGATAGATGAGACCTTTTTTCTTTTAATCTTCCAGCCATGAATATTTTTCTCTCATCCCTTTTCTTTTTTTTTTAACCTCATTATTGTATGTGTTATGTTGTATGTCGGTTAATAGCACATATGTGTGCTTATTTCTTGAAAATCTTAAAAGAGTGTCTGTGTGTGTATATATCTCTCTCTCTAAAAAAAGATAAGCAGTCTGCTAAGACCTCCCAGGAAAACATGAGGGGGGAGGTAAGCCAGGGAGAGTACCCCCTCCAGTGCGTGTAATAGAAAAGGGGAGGAGGGGAGATTTCTGCCAGATGTCCATTCCTAAACCGTACTCGGTGATCCCACTTTTGCATCAGCCGCAGGCTGGCAGGCACCTGGATTTGAAAGGAGGCAGTATTCTTCTTCTGGGGTCCTCTCCCTGCCCCATGTCATCTTCATCTCCCTAACTTTGAGTAGACTTCTGCAAGATAGGTCGTTGCTCAGCCTTAAGGCTTTCACAAAGGATTTTGTGTGTTCGTGGGAGTAACTGTCAGCAACATGAAACAAAGGCGGTCCTAGTCGGTTGGCTTTTATTCTTCTTTGGTTTGTGGAACCTGTAGCAGATTTTCACTAGAAAATATCATGTGCATGATACAGTGAATGTTGGTAATTCACTATTACTGAATATTGAAGAGTTGGCAGTAGGCTTGCTCCTCTTTGGTATCTTTTGAACTGTCCCAG